GATAGATAGATAGATAGATAGATAGATAGATAGATAGATAGATAGATCAGAGGGATTCAGCCTCCACAGTAACACACAGACTGGATGAAAACTGGTCCAGATCTTGATGGTAATGATGATGACAGCAGGAATAGTGAGACTCTGAACAGTGGCTGGAACAGGACTTGTGGCATAGTGTGAGGGTGTCTCTCTTTACTCAGGACGAGGTTCACGAGCGCGACGGCCTGACGGACTTCCTGCTGACAAAGATGCAGGACGTCCTCCAGAAGGTCCCAACTCTGAAGCTGATCCTGTCCAGCGCCGCTCTGGACGTAGAGCTGTTCCGCCAGTACTTCGGATCCTGCCCCGTCATTCACCGTAAGTCCTGGGACACTTCTTTACTAAAAAAGAATTCAATCAGAACCGCTAACTAAAATAGGATATGTCATTTATTTGGAAATGTTTCATTTCTGAAACAGAGTTGGACTAAAGACTCCAAATCCAGTATAAAAAGAGCATTAGCATTAGCTTATCCTGACCCACAGGCCTGTAACCTAACCATTAAGGGGGCCATGTTAATGTGAAGCTATCGGTAAAAATGTCAACTGTGTGGGATTATTTGAATCTTATTTGAAAAAGATGAAGAGCTCGATGTAAAACAGATTACTGATGATGAGTTAATAGACTATTTTCTATTCAGGTAGTTTGTGTGTTTTGCCTTTTTAATACAGTTTACAATATTATTGTCACTTTTTACTGTTCACTGATGCCATTTCTGTTTGTTATTTATCATTTGATCCTGTTTTGTGTTTCTCCCTGAATAAACAGGTCAGTGTCTCTTTACGAACCAGTGTGTGTTATTCAGACTCCCCTAATTCAGCTAGTTGTTATCAGAGTAAATCCCTGTTCAACAGGAGTCTGACAACTAAGTAAGTCGGCTATATAACTTTAAACTTTAGTCAATGCTCTGATAGGCCGGGATCAGTATCAGAAAGCAGGATGGGGACATTCCTAGACTAGATTCCCAGGTTGAGATTAGATCCTGTGGATGCTGTGTTGAACTGGCTCAGGTCTGAGCTGGTTAGTTCATCTTTCTTTGGCTTTAAAAGGCTTCTGTTTGCATTTCAGGACGAAACACGTCCTACAGCTCAGAGCTGAAATGAGTAGTTTTTGAAACAAGTAGGTAAATGTAATGTCTCTCTTGCTGTTTTTTTTTTTTTAGTCAAAGGAAGACTGTTTGAAGTGAAGGACGTCTTTCTGGAGGACATTCTTCGGCTGACAGGTTTTAACAATAGAGACTTGTGGAAATACAAGGAAGAGACACAGAGAAGTATGGAGTTTTTATCCCTAGATTTAATCCACAGCCGACCTGAGCTGATATCCAGTGAGAGTGTCCTGTGTTTGGGTGTCCAGAGGAGAGGAAACAGAAACGCCTGACTGAATGGTGTGAGACGGTGGAGACCAGCTCCCCTGTGAGGGAGCCCTCCCCTGTGCTAGCACCAGGCTTCCTGCAGGCCAGCAGCTGTGGGGGCAGAGACGACAGAGACTCCAACAAGCTGGTAAACATGAACAACCACCCTCTGCTTTACGTCCGTCAGTGCTTCTACATTCAGTTCAATTCAGTTTTATTTCTGTAGCTCCACATCCCAACAGCAGCAGGTATATCCTAGCTTTCCAACCAGAGAAACTCAGACAGACTCTGAGTTATTTACAGAAGAACAACACCTACCAAAAGCAGCACTTGGAGACACTGGAAAGGAAGGAGACTAGGAGACTCCCAACCAAAAGCCCTCAAAACAGCTTCAAAAGCCCCAAAACAGCTTTAAAAGCATCAAAAGCAGCTTTAAAAGCCCTACAAACAGCTTTAAAAGCATCAAAAAAAGAACTTATTGTCATATTGATAACTGTAAAATTGGGTCTACTTTGTAAGTGGCTTTGGATAAAATGCAGAAACACAAACACATATTCTAAATAAGACCTGATCTGGTGTCCTTACAGGACAACAAAGGCCCGGAGAGCCTGGAGCCCTGGCTGCTCAAGGAGATGGACGCCTGCATTTCCAACATCTTCCTGTACGAAGACCAGGACACTTTTAACCAGCTCTTCAACCTCATCCTGAACGAAAACGTCAACGGTAGGACTCTCCACAGGTGTTCCCATATTCACCCACCACCGATGCTAGCACCTCGCTTTCCTAAACTGAGAATAGGAGTTTGGTTTGATCCCAAAGCCACTGTTTGTGTTACAGTCATAGCTAATGTTTATTATTAAAAAAAGATCCCCAACTTCAAACTCAACTCAATTGAGAATAGGTTATTACATTTATTGTGTAATTTTGGGCTGACTGGTTTTGGGCTGACTGGTTCTTAGGCTGACTGGTTTTAGACTGACTGGTTTTGGGCTGACTGGTTTCAGGCTGACTGGTTTCAGGCTGACTGGTTTTGGGCTGACTGGTTTTGAAGCTGACTGGTTTTAGGCTGACTGGTTTCAGGCTGACTGGTTTCAGGCTGACTGGTTTTGAAGCTGACTGGTTTTATGTTGACTGGTTTTGGGCTGACTGGTTTCAGGCTGACTG